ATTATATTAAGTTTATTATTTAATAATGTTAAAGCCCGGTGCTACGCACCGGGTCAAAGACTATATAAAAAATAAATATATATTATATTAAGTTATTTATTTAATAATGATAAAAGTCAAAGCAATACATTAAATTAAAAACTATTAATTATAATAAAAATAATATAAATAATAAGTATTATATTAAATTTATTATTTAATAATGTTAAAGCCCGGTGCTATGCACCGGGTTAAAGACTAGTCTGTAAATAGGATTAAATTCTTCAAAGAAATAGAGAACTCGTTGAAATAGCTATAGATTAATTTAATTCATTACTGGTTTAATCGTGGAAGTTCAAATTTCTGATGGTAATTATATGTTACAGTAATATAGTATAATAGGAGGTTCAAAATTAAAATAAGTAGGATTTTTTCAATAGCATTTTTGCTATATTGAATTATAAATAAGAAAAAGATTCTCTGATTTTAATTTGAAATTCCAAAATACATATTTAGTATTTGAACTTAACGTTTACTGTTCCACTTCAATAAATAAGATTCACTAAAGTTATATACTTTATGAAAATATGACTCTTTATCATTATTTAATAGACAAGTACGGATTAATATGAATTCACCTTTCTTAGTATAATAAAGAATTATAAACAATGTTTACTGAATTAAATGGTTTTATGTGATATTAGAGTTTTATTCTTTTGTATATTTTCTTTTAACAACAAAAGTCATAAATTTGAAATTTGTTCATTATTCTTTTACTTATATATATACTGCATTAATACCATCCAGCTACTGTGATGCACCAATCTGGTACACATTTTTCTGGATGTAGTTTTAATATATTCTTACGTAATTCACATGATAATTTATAAACTATTATCAAATTATAAAATTATATTTTAACAATTATGTTCCTTGAAAGACTTTCTTTAAAAAGAATTCGCTTGAAACTTTACAAAAGTTACTGAAATTGACTAACGTAATCGAACTACATCTTTTCAAGAGAATTTCGGTTATTTAGTTGATCGATTAAACGATTCTAAAAGAGTATAAGAAATTCATTAAAATATTAATATCTATCTATTGTATACTCAAGGTTCCAGTTCTGAGTGAAATAAAATGTTATGGAACTTTTCTGATGTTGAATTAATCAAATCGGAAGCATTAGTTTTTTAGATTTAACCGAATTATCAGCATCAGCCGTCATGTTAAGTTACTGTTTAAAAATTTTTATCACCTCTAATTCTAATGAGAAATCTATTAAATAATCGATTCAGATAAATGAAAGCAAATTATAATCTATGTTTTATTTTATCAGTTATTAGTTAAAAGATTAGTTAAAAGATTAGTTAAAAGATTAGTTAAAAGATTATATGACACACTATCACACTAGCAACGTAATCATTTCCTTTACATAAACAATGACAATGACACTTAAATATTTATATTAAATTCTATGTTTGGAAGATCATTTGATTGGTTCATTGGCTTAAAGGCACTTTAACAATTTGAAAATCGACAAACAAAGATTATAAAATAAATAATAACAAAACAAAGGGATAATAATTTGATAAAACATATAATATAATATGATGTACTAATTCGAAAATATAATAAAAAATGCAAAGACTATAAAAAAGAGATTTATGTATTTTAAAGACAGTAAATTAATTTCAACGAGTTTTATTTTTGACAAATAAACGTCTAAGCATGTCATATATAGTATTAGAACAATGAAGACCCTGAAGTTGTATAGTTTATTATAATGCAATACCAATGCCAATCGAAAGATTATTCAGAAGATTAAATGTTTATTGACATATCAGATATGCCAGAAAATTTTCAGTGATATATATATATATTCATGTTATGCAATTAACAACATATTAACTGTTAAGATACATTTCAGCGATTTACAATAGAATGATATTTTACAATAGAATGATATAAAAAAAAAAACATTACTATTGACTACTTTCTCTTCCATAACCTTCTTCCTCCAAAGCTTTTTTTGCACCTTTAATAGCAGCATTAGCATCCATAGCAACTTCCTCAGCGAGAATACCAAGGTTACGAAGAATAAAACACAATCCACGAAAACCACAATAACCAAAAGTAGTAAAAAAAGCAGTAGATAAAGCAGCGAAGCACATCACAGCACCCACAGGAACAAGGAAAATTAAACCAAGACCGAAAAAGAAACCTTCAGCAAGAAAAACTCCAACGCCAGCAATGCTTAAAACTAAAGTCGTAGTACCGAGTAGAAAACCACCGAAAATTGCTAAAGGAATAGCATTTAAAACAAGGGCTCCATAACCGAACCAACTAAGAGGAGGAAAATTGTTCCAAATATATTGAACACCATTAAGTACAGGTCTGATATATTCACGAGGATTTTGAAAAATGTGTACGTGAGCAATTTTAGAAGAGACTTTAGAAGAGACATCAGAAGCAATATGCACAGCTTTTCGCGTTGTATCGTAGCTTCTTTCTTCTACTCTTTCGGGTTCAGCAATGATAAATCCACCGTCACCACGACCAGAGTTTTCATAAATATAAGGCCTCTCTTCACTCATTATTATAAAAAATATACGATGAAAAAAATGTATGATAAAAAAAAAGTATGATAAAAAAAATGGACGAATTTTTTATTTAAAAAGATCTCTTGCTCTAATCGTTCTTAAATAGATACATTTTATTAGTCTATATCACAATTTCATCATGTAACTAGAGTCTAATAAATTCATCGAAATGATATCTTTATCTCGTCATTAGTTAGTAATGAATCATAGTATTTGATTTATGCGAACATACTTTTGGCCAAACTCCGATAATTCTAATAATTCTAATAATTCTAATAATTCTGATAATATTCTGATAATATTCTGATAATTCTGATAATTCTGATTATTCTTGAATAATTTACATATTATTGATTTATTGAAATAATAATAAATTTTTATTTTTTTTTTTTTCAAATCAAATCATTTTTTGAATAACGAACATGCGGAATAAATTTTTTTTATTCATCCTAATAAGTCATTCCTAATAAGTCATCCTAATAAGTTTTGTCATTTATCATTAAATTCAATAAATTACTTTTTATTGGAGAACAAAAAAAATGCATCGTGACTTAATCCTATAATCTTAAAGTGGAAAATTATTAATTATATAATATTATATATTATGTAAATAGTTGACGTGACCTGATACATTTTTTTTATGTAAATAGTTGGCCTGACCTGATACATCGGACAGAACCTTGATTTGTTTAAGTCATGTTACCAATAAAAACATCGGGAAATCTGCCGCGAATTATATGTATTTCATTTATCAATTAGATCATATCTGATTATCTTGATTCTATTGCGTATTTATTTACAATAAACAAAGCCATAATAGCTTGTTAAAGTTACATTATTATCCTAATACATATATGCTACAACGCCATTCTCTTTTACCTCCGAGACTAACTTGATTAATTTGGTAATTCTCCATTAAAAAATTATAAATGCCAAGTCGAACACAAAAACTGTCTTTACGAAAAAATTTTTTTCCACACAATATGCTACAAATTTCTATTTCAATTAAAACAATTATTATTGAATTTCTTTGTTTTTTTCCCACCCCATTTTTTCAATGGACTTTTCAAGGCAATGATGTAAAATAAATGCAGAATGATCACGTAGCACCACTTCGAAAATATTATTATTAATACCATATACTTTGTATTGCTACGTAATGTATATTGCTACTGTATATTGCTACTGTATACTGCTACCATATATTCTACCGCATATTGCTACTGTATATCTGTATATTGTTTGTGAAATATTTTTTTTTTTTTTTTTTTTGTTTTTTTTTTGATATAAATTCTACATTCCTTGAACTTTGGTAAATTTAATTTAATTCTTTTTTCAAATTTCGACACTATTAATCAGTAAGATTACTAAATAAAACCTTTATTATTATTTGTAATATTATTATTGTTATTATTATTATCATTATTATCATCTGTTTTCTTTAAAACACTTGAACAAAACATTCTTTAATATTTATTGCCTGAAATATATGGGTCAATTTCATCCATCTTCATTCTCCTTCAAAAGATCAATCAAAAGACGTACATCTATTGTAGCTCCTCTACCTTTACCAAAACCAAAACATGAACTTGATTTAAGTCCGGAATTTCGTCGAATTGATAAAAAAACTTATAATAGCATAATTAATAGTTCGAGATATGATTTGCCTGATGATAATGAACGTATCGATAGAATCCAATTGAGACATCGTTTGTTTAGATATGTATGGCAAAGAAATTTTTCCTCTCCCATTAGAGATGATTTATTAAATGGTATTAATGTTCTTGATGTTGGGTATGTTTTATTCTTATTTAAATAGATTATTTAAATAGATTAAACTCTTACGTTGTAGTAAATATTAAATTACTATTTATTTTTCTCATGTAAAAAGATGTGGTGAAGGTTCATGGGTGCTCGACAATGCTTCCACTTATCCAAACTCTACTTTTCATGGAATTGACATGGCCGAAATGTTTCCTAAGGATACTTCTAGTTATCCAAACGTAAAGTTTTCTCAAATTAATGTAGTCAAAGACGGCTTGCCATTTGAATCAAACTCTTTTGATTTTATACACCTAAGATTTTTGGTTCAATATTTAACCGAGGATGAATGGGATAATAAGGTTCTAAAAGAGTTGATAAGAGTTTTAAAGCCTGGTGGTTATTTGGAAATAATGGTATGTTCTTTTTGATTATTCTTTTTTATAATTCTTTTTTATAATTCTTTTTATAATTTTAGTTAATCATTTTTTTAAAAAAAAAAATTATTAGGAATTTGATATGATATTTTATAATTCTGGTTATCATGCGACTAAATTACAAAATTCAAGTAAATATCTTTTTTAATTTTTCTTAATCGTAATTTATTCTAATCATTTAAAAAATATCTAAAATATCTACAATTTTTTTATTAGCGATAGGATATTTCAAATCTAAAAAAATAAGTGCTGTAATATCTCCCCATCTTATAAAATACTTACCTACAGTATCTCAATTTTCTGAAGTCCAACATGAAGAGAGATCAACTCCTTTGGGTGATTGGGGTGGCAGATTAGGAAGCTTTGCAAAAATTTATTTTGTATTAGCTTTTAAACATATGAAATTGGTTTTACCAGAGTATATGAAAATTAGCAATGATGAGTACGATAATATTATTAGGAGATTTGATGTTGAGTGTGAAATAAATGAAACTTATGTAAAGACCTGTAGGATTTATTGTAAAAAGCGTGTTTAATTAATTTTAATAATTTTAATAATTTTAATTCTTATTTTTATATACACTTTTTTAATAATTTAGTTTTCATTTTTTATGGACTTTTTATTATCATTATCATTATTACATTATTATTATTTCATAGATTTTTTCTTTATTTTATTTTTTATGGACTATTTATTTATGCATTACCAACATCAACAACACCACTGTATATACCGATATAAACTTTTTTTTCTTTTTTCTATGTATTTATTGTTTTTTCTATCTGTATCAGGTATACTTTTAGATACTGTATATGAATTATATATGCTATATAATAGTTAATATTACCCTATGTTAAGATTACAAAATTTTTTTTTTTTTAATCGCATGATTTAGTGAATCATAAATAGTTAACGATTAATAAACTACATATTATATATAGATCTATATATTTATTAATCATATATCAAATATATTTACAGTATATTTATGTTTTTTATAATGTAAAACTACAAGAAAAAATTCAAGAAAAAATTCAAGAAATTCAAGAAATTCACGAAATATCATTATCCAATGTATTGGCTTGGATAAAAATCCCGAAAAAAAAAATTCTGAGAAAAAATTAACTGAAACTATAGTCTACACTAACTTAATCAAACCAATTTTGATCTTTGTCTGGAGATTTTGACCGTTTTAAGAAATAGATTATTATTAAAAATTTTCCCAAATTTCGTAATATAGGGTGCACCAAAATCACTTCTTTATAAATATATATATATACTTATAAATTTTGGCGCTATTTTAATTATATATATATAACTTGGCATACGTATTATTTATAATTAATAATTTATACAGTAAATTGGCGTATTCCACCATAGAAATTCCATGTTTTCACATGACTACATATCAGCTACATATACATGACAAAACATGTTGTTATGATAAATTATGACCAATGGTGGAAATAGGTGTTCTCTTAATATATAATATATTAATAATATATTAATAATATATTAATAATTTGTTATAATTTGCATATTTGCATACGCATTTGATGACAACAAATGAATTGGTGTATCATGTTATAGATTAAAAAAAAAAAGTGTTTATAATACTGTAAATAGGTGGTCACAAGGTTTGCAATAATAATAGGCATTGTCCATTGGTATTTTTTCACTAAGCCATTTTGACAAATGGATCTTACCTACATATAAATACCCGAATATATATTATATAAATAAAATTATTATTATATAATTTGATTGGATAATATTCACGTAGATTGCCAGGCAGATAAACTGATAACTTTACTTGAACCAATCTAATAATTGAAACTAATCTAAGTTTGATCTTTATATATACTGTATATATACGTTTATAGTTAAAAGAGTTAATGATTGATTATAAAATAAACATCACGTGTAAAAAATCTAATTAAGATTCATAATTTCTTGTACGTATTTCTTCGTAACCAAAGCAAATTTACGTCATGCAGAGGATAATAAAGTTAATCTATGTATTATGATTTTAGCTGTTAGTATTAGTACTGCAGGTAACTGTACATCAAATGACGCCTATATGCCCAAAATATTTCTGTGGTCAATGCTTGAGAAGAAACCCCTTTGCAAACTACAGTACTACTATTTTTAGAGGCTCTTAACAGAAAGCTAGACTCGATGATGTCCTACTCTCATATTAACATATTGCCGGTGCTTGAAAAAAGACCCTCTTTAGCAGCCTACTAAGATGCTGCAAACCTCTTGTCCAGGGTTAATGGTTACATGAATGGGGCTAATATACTAATATCACCGCTGATTCCATCAGAGCTCTATTGGGCTCCATTAAACTCCATTTCCAACACTGCCTCCTGTGTATATCACAGCTAGCGGGTTCTTGACCAGATCATCATCTTGTCGATGTTTTATTACTAGACTACATCTTGAAATGTATAAACTTGATACTACACTGATTTTTTTCTTTTGTATTTGGAGGTTATTGTCTCCTTCAAGATAAAATAAAGAATGGTCTTGCCTCTAATAAAATGCAGATGTAAAATTATAGATATTTGAGTCAACTATTGATTACCGTTGAACTTGATCTTGTCAAAATCGATAACTTTTTAAATCTGATAAAAAATTAATCCGCTTCAAATTTGATAACCTCTCAATACTGATACAAAATCTGTCTACAATGCCTATCAGTTTGCATATCAGTTTGTTTTTGAGAGATTCAACAGTATGTAAAAAAAAAAAAAAAAGTTAAATTAACTAACAATCAGAAAAATGTTGAGTCTTTCGTGACATAAAGCTTCGTTTATTTATCCTACTCTTGACAAGGCTATTTAAAGGAGTGAAATTTAGAATTTACTTGAGGCAATAAAAAAAATTTATTTTGACAAAAAGACAGACGATTAAGAGTAAAACCTATTTCTATTTACATTTATTTTTACACCTCATTCTTAATTGATCATGGTAGTTGGATGATAAGACTACAGAAAATTTGGTAAATATGTTAATGTATATGAAATTATTTTAATAAAAATTCTTTTTAAAAATTATTTTTAGCAAAGCGAAAACAGTTCTGAAAGTGGCGAAGACGAAGTTATTATCGTTCACAATAACAATTGTGCTATATTACCGATCAACAAGAAACTACCACAAACAATGGAATAATTTAGTTAGCTGTTAGAGGTTAGTATGTCGAACATGTAATAATTTTTTCATCTATACTCTATTATGAAAATTATGCTAGTGTTGAAATATAATCTAATAATGACAAATTTTATTAAAGAGAATCTTTGAACGTGAATCATCTACCATCCTACAATCTCTACTAACAAGGATAATACAAACCGTTTAATGTCTGTGGTGTGCGAGTTCATATTAAAAAGAATTTCTTAAAAAGATTGAAAATCGCAATCGAAAAAAAAACAAACCAATTTTCATATAAGAATAGACAAATTAACAATCCCCATCTCCTATGGCTGCATCACCGCCACCTTCAAAAGCATGCTCGTTTTGCTACACACGCAGCACTGGGTTTCATTCTGTTAGAGATCATTCATAAATGATGAAAAATATAATAATAATCTGGATAAATCTCAAGATGAATTAATTTTATAGTTTGATATATAAAGCATGCATATGATTAGTAAGTACGTATTAGCGTTACGTTAGTAGGAAAACAAGTTCTATATTTTTTTTTTGTGTATACTGTAATTACTATATATTAAATAATATATAACTATTATTAGCAACTAAAGCATACAAGGATCTTGCATGCATTATACAACATCATAAATTTTTCCGCACCCGACATTAACTTCAGGTGATAAAATGCCATCAAGTTCCAATTCAAAATATGAAAACACAACATCAACACCCCTGGAAATCTCGCAGCATTTTTTAAACCGATTTGCTAAACTTTCTACTGAGATGTGCTCCTCTTCATATCCAACAATTAGTTCAGTATATCCTATGTATAATTATCTTATAGATCGTGCTTATACTATATTATTAAATATTTTTATTTTTCTAATACATATATCTTAGGTGGGTTGGGTACTCTGAATGTCAAGTAAACTGCAGGAATACAAATAAAATTAAAAATATTATATCTATAAAGATGAACAAATAATCTACTATCACTGATGTATTTCGAACCTGAATTGAAGGTAAAATAAAAAAAAATTAGAGGAACACATGGACAGAATCATCTTCAATACGAATAAATCAAGGTAATCTTTATTGTATAAGGTTGTTTGAAATTAAACCATTGGTTGAGTTTTCTTTTTAATAGTTACCAATATATAATATTACTTTCCAACTTCAAAAAAAACATACAATCACGAATCAAATTGAAAAAAAAAGATTTAGCTAGTGCAACAACGTCCACGAAAACTGAGTATTTATTAA